ATTTCCAACGTTGCTGCCATCAACTGGCATCACGGAATGTGCAACATCGTTTCCGTTCCGACCATTTGAATGTGCACCTCTGGCAACATTCACGGATCCAACACTTTTGGAGTCCATCGACTTGTTCATTATCAAAAAAATAGATAAGGTTTTAAGATTGTTGGTGATAATGAACCAAAATCAATTTAATATCCCAAAAATAATATTTATATATACACACACAAGTATATAAAATATTATTGGATATTTATCCGAAATATATATATACACACAAATATATATAAAACGGACCCAAAGGTTATATATACATGTATATCTACGAAAAAAATATACCAATATATATCAACCAAAATTGGAACTAATAATCCTCAGATTATAAGTCCAATCCAACGAATATATCAAAAGAGGGAGAACGGATTTTTGCTTAAAAGCATAATCCAAAACAAGAATGAAGGAGGGGAAGAAAGATTAGTACGAGTTAGGCGAGGTGCCTTTCTTTCCTTAAAACCTTATTTGCCACCTCCCAAAAGTGTTAGGAGCGTTGTGGCCTAGGTTTCCCAGGATAAAACGTACAACGGTTCGATGTTTGAGCACCCAAACGAATGAACCCGGCGAACAAGAGCACGGGCAAAACACAGCTTCAAGAATGGAGTAGGAGCAGAGTTTTCAGAAGAAAATGTGCTTATCGTTGTGTGTTGTGTCTCTCTTGTTCTTCCCTTCACGTTGTATCTCACTTTCTCACTGTGCAGTTCAAAGACCTCTACTCCCACTACACTCTTATATAGGAGGAATAGGATTTAATAGCATATTCATGGCACATAAAACCCAACATAATCCAATTTAATAATTGGATAATAACGTTTGAAACGGCCGTACTTATTATCGAAATAATATCAACGGTCACGAACTTAATATCCGATTAATCGTACCGATCGTAACGACCTGTTTCAAATATCTGAGTGACCGAGAAGTCCGTATAAACCTGAAAGGTTAACGAATTGGGACCGGAAACCACACCCGAGTAGTCCATATACACCGAAACAGTACAACACGAATCAATGCATAAAGCACCAACTCGTACTGCACGAAAGGAGCCCAAATCTCCAAAAACGAATCAGTGCTCATAAGCCCAAATTTGTGCTTTAATTCCCAATTCAAGCTTTCTCAAGCTTATCAAAATAAAGTTGCACGAGATGTGCTGCCAGCACATGCATAGTATTTTAACAATTTAAATACTAGCATGCCTGATTGGCACAACACGAAAGTGTTATAACGAAACATAAGTAGCACGAATCTAATGCTAATCTTGATTAGCATTAAGCTTAAATTTTGACTTCTCTCAAATAGGTTCACTTTGAGAATCAATTTTTAATTTCTCATTCACCTATTACTCATTTTGAGCGTACATTATATCAAATTCTTCGTCTCACTACGAAGAACCCGAATCCATATTGACCCGACCAAAATCGGAAGTGGATCCCACATATATTTCTACCACAAAATAATCACTCAAAATGCCATTTTAATGCTATTTTTCCAACATTAACAACTACTCACGTTAAGCACAACCTCACGCACATTAAGCACAAAACTCACGCACCTTACGCACAAACCTCACGCATCTTATATACAAAACTCACGCACATTAATCACATATCCGCTCACCTTAATTTTGACCTAGATGCAGAAATTACAAAATTGCCACCGCATTTTTTAAAAAAAAATTTTGACAATCCTGGACGTTGATTTAAGCAAGATGAATGGCCCAGATTAAACCGCACAACCGCACCTGTGTTAAGCGAGATGAATGGCCCATATATATATATATATATATATATATATATATATATATATATATATATATATATAATTAAAACCTCAGAATGTCTTATAGCTTAGTAACATGCATTAGTCCCTAATTAATTTAAAATCAACTAAATCTAAAATTTTATATGAACAACTTTCTCTACACGTATTACTATTTTTAATTTGAATTACAATTTTAAGCTTGAAATCATAAAAATTTTATAATTTTATATGTAAACTTTAAATCATAGTAACAAGAAAAATATATATATGCCCGCATGGGTAGCTCAACTGGTCATAGAGGTGAAACTTTGGAATAATGACCAGGGATCGAGTCTCACCAGCGGTAGTGTGGGAGCAACCTCTCAACGTGAGGGGGGCTTCTTGTGCGCAGTGAGCACCGGTCTAGCCTCTATGGTTCATGTTCAGTTGAGTCATTTACATCCTCCCAAATATTTTGTCGGGCCGGGGTTGGGGTTTAGCCTTTTGGAATAAGAAAAATATATATATTACCCCAAATTTCAAAAGAGACAACATGTAATTAAAACAAGAAAAGGAAAACTTTGTTACGAGTTCGCGTCCATTTCTTTTAATTGAAACCCAACAAGATTGCAAAGCAAATAATAATATCCACAAAAGGGAAATTTGCCATCCATTAAGTGTTGTGGATGTTAGGAGTTTGTTACCAGCCTTAATCCAACTATTAAAGATATGATATTAAATTTATATTTGAAATACCCATGATTATTTATAATGTAGTATTGTTCTATGTCCCCATCACTGAAGTTTGATCATGTGACCACAAATTTAAAATGATAACAGAGGTGCCATTACACTACAGGGTAGTCGACATATTAAATAATATATATTTAAAGTATGTTTAGCAAAGCAAAGATTGTAAGGGCATTGATGAAACGGTACGCTTAATTTATAGTATATATATATTTAGCACAGTTGAGAAACTATACCTATTAATCTATTATCATTGTCTTTGCATATATAATCTTGTATTGATATATTTTGAATTAATTATTTAAATACAAATCTTGGGTATTAAATCAATCGAACAATGCACATGTAAAACTAATAATAATAATAATAATACGGGTTATGGGTTTAGAGTTTAGACATTTTATGATGGTACTCCATAATTTTTACTAACAAATCATTTTATATTTTAAATATCTTTAATTATAAATAATTTAATAATACTTAAATAAATAAAAATAATACTTTTTAGGCAAAAACTTATGTGAGATCATTTTACCGGTCTCAATTCGTGAGACGGGTCGGATCTTTGATTAATGAGGTCAAAAATTCGACCAATTAATAAAATACATGACCCGTCTAACGGATTGAGACCCGTGAGACAGTCTCGCACAAGTGCTACCCATACTTTTATGTTCTCAAAAAGTATAATTGGTGACTAAAATTTTAGAATCATTTATTAATATTAAGAGTTCATACCTCCTAATATATTTAAAACTTAAATAACACAATACACTCATAAACTTAAATGTCATTTTACATGTAATAAGCTAAGAGTAAAAAACTGATTTACTAAACACCTTTCTACAACCAGTTACTATCAGTGGGTCAAACCATCTAACTCAATCACCTATCACTAACTACTATTTGTCAAACACTATATATATATATATATATATATATATATATATATATATATATATATATATATATATATATATATATATATATATATATGTATGTATGTATGTATGTATGTATGTATGTATGTATGTATGTATGCATGTGTATGTATGTATGTATGTATGTATGTATAGGTATTGGATCAAATGAGAACAAGTCCTTACGAGTGAAATAAGAATCAATCTCAACCTTACATTTGAAAAAATCAGACATATCAGATCAATTATTTTTTTTTTAAATGTCGTGGCATTTTCATTATTTACTATGCAAACTTGAACACTAAAATATGTAACTCTAAAACTTTTTCAGATTTGCACAATTACTATTAACATTTTGCACATTTAGTATTAACATTTTGCATATTTAGTATTAAAAAATTGTACTTGCAAAAATACGAAAGTGCATTGCATTTAAGGTTTCGATTTTAGAGTTTATGATTCAGTTTTTGGTTTTATTTGGTTTAGTGGTTTGCTTTTTACTACTTAAAGTCTAGCATTTACGGTTTAGATTTAAATTTAGTTTTTTCATAGATTTTATAAAATTTATATGGTTTGCATATTTAGTTGTATTGTAAAGATTGCTTATTTAAGTGTTAAAGTTTATACAGTGAAGTTGATGATAATTACAAAAATGATAGTATATTTTTTAAAAAAATCTGATCAGATTCGTCGAATTTTTCCGAATGTAAGACTGGGATTGGTTTTATTTCTCCCCTATGCCACTGTTTTCACAGGATCCTTAGCATATCTAATCTAAAAAATAATAAGTCTCAATTAATGTTATATCCTTGATTTATGCCCCTCTTTTTATATGCTAATAAATGTATACTTTTTAATTTAAATGTTGTATACTTCAATGTTATTAGATAAAATTGTCCCTACCACATTTTTGTTAGACAAAACTACTCTTACACAGTTATAACACCGTTACTTTTTAACTATAACATTAATAACTCCATCATTATTACCATACACCTATATTTATCATATCTTTTTTCTATTATTTAATTATCATTTTATTAAAATCATTATATAATTAATTTAATGGTTGAATATATTTTAATTAAATTTCTATTGAAGAGTAAATCATATGTGTTTGCATAAAATACATATATTACTTGTGGATATATAATTCAAATTATAATTTTTAATTATTTGTATTTATCAATGTATAATATTAGGCACGATTTTTGCATCGCGTACAAAATGCTAGTATATATATATAATTAAAACCTCTGAATTTCTTATAGTAACATGCATTGGTCTCTAATTAATTTAAAATCAACTAACTCTAAAATTTTGTACTAAAAAAAAAAATCTAAAATTTTATATGAACAACTTTCTCAACACGTATTACTATATTTAATTTGAATTATAATTTCAATTAAATACAAAATTATTCATCTAAAATTGCCATATTAGCTTAAATACAGATTTTACTAAAATTGCAAATAACAATTAGAAAATGCAATAGTACGCACTAATGCATGCTAAACTGCAGCTATATATATCTCCCAATCCCTCCCAATCATTTCCACACTAATCACATTCTTATATCAATCCAACAAATTAAAGCTAGCTAGGTACACAGTACAATGGCAGTCGTCGGAAACCGAAAGCAACTAATGTCATTGCTCCTCCTATGCGTGATCACCTCCGGCGTTGTTATCCCGCCGCTTTGGGCGGAGGCGCAGGTAACGTGCCCTGGCCTCGTCAACACACTTTTACCATGCGCGAACTACGTATTGAACGGTGGGGATATACCGGCGACGTGTTGTCCAGCCGTGAAAAAGGTGGAGGACAGTTTAAAAACAAAGCAAGACAGACAGAGCGCGTGCCAGTGCGTGAAAGAGACGTTTGCTAAAGCCAAGCCAGACCAGCTGAAACGGGCTCAAGATCTCCCAGCTAATTGTCATCTCCCGGCCCTTCCATTTCCGATTAGCCCTAACGTCGACTGTTCATCTATTTCAAAGTGAATTAATTAATAGAAAATGGTTTATTTGAATTTATGTATTAATTAACATCTTCCAGAGAAGATGTTGATTGTTGGTTATATGATGATATATATTTGAGAAATAAATTGAAACTCTTCTTTAAAAAAATTAATATTGTATTTTACTTTTCCCCGGAGAGGTCAGAGGTAGACATACATTAGTTAATCATATAAACCATATATTCAAATAATATAATTTTGCATTAACCAAACAATTTGATTACGTTGTTGGTGATGAACTGATGATGAGCGAATTACCAAAACAATTACAAAACTAAAGAATTCATTCTCATATGTACTATTGTAAAACGTTTAGAGCATCTCGAAGGGGCATAACGCCATATTCCAATGCCAAATCAGCAAAGTAGCAAATTTTGCCACTCTAAGGTGGAGCGCCATCTCGCCATAACGCTATTGTTTTTGGCGTTAATGAACTGTTCATTCACGGCAAATGGAGAAGGGGAGAAAATTGACTCTTTTGCCCTTCTTTCTTTTCCTAATTACAAATATATCATTTATTTGTTTTATATCTAATTTTTTGTTTTGTTAAATACTTATATTTAAAGTTTGTATTATTAAATATAAATTATATCATTTGAAAGATCTATGTGATCGAAACAAGACTAATATTGAATATATATTAATTAAAATTTCAAATACATTAAACATAATTAGAACATAATAAAATGTATGAGATGGTGTGTGTTGTATTATTATTGTGGAATAAATTAAATTTTTAAAAATATTGTTGAATTCTATTTTTTAAAATAATTAATGTTATAAAAAAATTAATGTTAATAAAAATTACAAATTATATTTTATATTAAGCTAATTAAGTTCGAACTAAATTATATTAAACTAACTAAATTTGAACTAATAATTGAAAAATTAAATTATTTTAGTGTAAAAGTTTGGTGTTTTGGTGTAAATGGGTTGGAGATGAATAAAATTTGGTGTGAGAATATGTTGAGAATATTCCTTTGATGTGATGACATTTACTGGAAAAATTTGGTGTTTTGGAGATAGATGGGTTGGAGAAAAATCGGCCAACTGGTGTACTAAAAACATACGCGAAAAGAAAATTGCCACCGTACGCGTTTTAACAACTCTTTTTTAAACAACAGATGCCTATAGTGACATTATAGACATCTAATTCTAAATTAAAAAGAAATGCATATACATTATTTTTTGTTGTAAATACTAATTTATTTTATAATTTAATAAGTGTAATAAAGTGGGATACTTACTTTTCATCCACAACAATTGATGAGAATATATTTTCTGTATTTGATAATAATGTCTGAGAGTACAGGGAGCGAATATATAGAGATGCTAGATATAATCTAGTCTAACACGAATAATATAGTCCTAGTCTAATATGGATAATATAGTCCTAGTCTAATATGGATAATAGAGTCCTAATACAATTAAGTCATTGATTTTTTTATTTCCATTCGTAATTATTTTGAGAGTTTGTCAATGACAATTGCTACAATTGTTGTCAATAGAGGATGCCAATAAATAATTTGAAATATATGGTTATAATAGATATTGTTATAATGATATAGTAAAAATAACTAACAAATTTCTTTAGAAGTTTTCATGCATTGATAAAATTTCGAGAAGTCAGTGGGATGTCAACATTATCAATTCTTTGGACAATGGTCCTATCGTTTAGAGTCCAGATGTAGTTGTATTGATCAACAACATTGTAGTTAGGTCACGCATGTCTGACGATGATATTAAAATAATTTTGCCAAATAAAAAAAAAAAGAATAGTACAATATTTGTAAAATAATGTACAATTATACCATTATAGAAATACATATAAAAATATTAATATCGTAATGACCTAAAGCATTCCAATAATGCAAAAGCATAATTGAAATATTGAGTCTTGCTAAATAATCAAAAGAAGATTAATTAAACGAAAAAATAAAAAATTAACCTAAATTTGTTGTTTTTTTTTTAATGCAAGAAAATGATTTTCAATGTTCCTGATTTATAATCTTTGATGCTCAACTTTGAATGCTATGTATTTAATCGTGCTAATTATTTGACCAAAGTTTATGTTAAATTTTATATTGTATTTTTTAATAATACATTTTATCATATTCGTAGTATATGTTTAACAATTATGTCAACTATGATTGGGATGAGGTTCGAATCTAAGACCTTTTTTTTTTTTTTATAGAAATTAATAAGTTAAAATAATAAATAGTTAATGAGCCAAGCACCTTGTGTTCAGATGACATGTAGTGACTCTCTCATATGGGAGGTCATGAGATCAAGCCTCAGTGGAGGCGGTGTTGACTCTTTGTGCTTCAATAGGGAGTCTTATAATAATGACATGTGATAATGGAATATTTCGTTACTAAAGTTTATACTTATGGCATGTGACTTTCAAAAAAATAAATAATTAACGGAAGCAACATTTTTAAGTAAGTTCCCGTATTCTAACATAACACTAGTGTTTTTTATGCGCGATGCGCAAAAAATAGTTGCCCAATATTAATACATTATATTAAAATTTTAAATTTATTTAGATTTTAGATATTTAAATTATTCTAAATAATAATAATAATAATAATGTAAATCATTTTTATAAATTTGATATTTATATTTATGTAATAATTAACATATAACTCAAATATTTAATGTGTATATATTATTATTAATGAATAAAAGATAAGAAAATATATGGTGGATGCATGCTCATGGTAACAATAGTGGAAAAGATAACGGAAGTTATAACGGTAGGGGTATGTTCGTCCAAAATATTTTAATGTACAACCTTTATAGCATAATGTACAAAAAAAAATTTAACGAAAAAAAACGGACATAAATCAGGGGTATAACTTTCATTCACACTTATTATGTTTTTAGAATTTTTAATTTCCCGTTCTGTGCGAATGATGCACGGCCTATTTGGTGGGTGATTTATTTATTTATTTATTTTGAAAGGAGGTGGGGTTGTTAAATGACTGTCGTTTAGAATTTTTTTTTTTCTGAAGAATCTAAACTTTTACTTCTAGTTGTGATTATGTTCGTGACCAATTCTACAATTATTGTGTACTAAATTAAAATCAAAACGTTTACAAAGTAATATATTGTAAAAATTAAATGCGTTTGGATTGTATAATACTATATATAAGTTACTAACAGATGGGAAGATCTTGGGTCATTCTCTATCTCTATATCTATCTCTATCTCTACCTCTATATTTCTATATCTATCTCTATCTCTATATCTCTATATCTCTATCTCTATATTATTATTATTATTAAAGCAAAATGATTAGGGAAAAAAATTTTCCCTCCAAAGTGTAAAAGCATTTATTGTATTCACATTAACTAGTATTTGCACCCGTGCGATGCACGGAATTGATTTGTTGTAATATATTAAAAATATATGAATCGATATATAATTATTTAAATTAGAACATCAAATATTATATAGTGCAATTAAATATATGGTTTGGATCGTTTATATATTTTTATGGTATCATTGCTTGAATTTGTGCAAATAATTGCTCAAATTAATAGCTAATGTCTAGATGTACGCATACGGTGTTATAACTTTGAAGATTTTATTTATCATTGTTTAGAATTTTCATAAATTATTAAAATGTGCTCGTTCTCTAAGAACTCAGTTATAGAAATGAATTGGTATCCTTATTCATTTGTATGGAAGATATATTTTTTTGTCCAGATATATAACAATTTTTTCATTTAAAAAAAAAATTTAATATCACCGATTATATTTACACATTATTGAAACCTCTTTGTAGACGACATTGGTAGTGACAACACAATCCTATTCATCTTCGTCTAGAGCTAACACCTTCAATCCATCAGGACGGATTACTTGGATTAAAATATATAATGGTAGAATATTACTCGATTAGTTATCCTTTTATATTTTCAATCAATTAGTGATATCGGATTCATTTTCAGCTAATTATTCTTTTTTATTTTCAGTCAATTAATCAATTAGAATATCAAATGTGGTGATATTTTTACCTAATTTTCGTTCCATTTTTAATTGATGATGTAGAATTGTAGATATTATTATTAAAATATTTCCGTTTCATTTTTAATTCACCTTTACTATTGTTTAAAATATGCATTTACTATTGATAATGTAGAATATTATTATTGAAATATTTTTCTCCAATTTTTAATTTTCATTCTATTTTTAATTAAAATGCAATGATCTGGTCATTTTTTTAGTCAATTATGGAGCATTTTTTTATTTGCAGTCAATTATTAATATTCATTTCCTTTTAAAATTTTCAGTCAATTAGTAATATTAGATTTATTTTCAGTCAATTATTTTTTTTTTATTTTCAGTCAATTAGAATATAGATGTATTAATATTTTTACCTAATTTCCGTTACATTTAAATTTGATGATGTAGAATATTATTAATGAAATATTTTCGTTCCATTTTTAATTTACATTTACTATTTTTAAAAATATGCATTTACTCCTTCATGATGTGAAATATTATTATTGAAATATTTTCTTTCTATTTTTAATATTCATTTACTTCTAAACAAAAAAAAAAAAAAAAAAAAAAAAAAAAAAAAAAAAAAAAAAAAAAAACTTTGGACTTCTCACTCCTTGCCCACATTGATGGCAAGCAATTATGTTTGTAAACATTTTCAAGAGCTCATTTTTCCAAACATTTTCAATATGAGATTAAAATGATCCCACATCATTCTTCTTATTTTTCTAATTTTAATTTTATTTTGTATATCGTTTTGTTTGGATGATTATGATGATGATGATGATGATGATGATTATTATTATTATTATTATTATTATTATTATTATTATTATTATTATTATTATTATTATTATTATTATTATTATTATTATTGACAATTTTAAAAAATTGAGATTGAAAAATTCACCAAAATTTTAACAAATTCGTCATTTTAACAATTTATCTTTAATCAAAACACCAAAAATATTATTTAATAACTTAATAATTTGCTCCTAAAAACTAAAACAATATATACATTTTGGGTTAATCTTTCCCAACCCACTAATAATTAATAAATAATAAATAATGAATAAATAAATAAATAAAAACTAAAATAAG